TCTCTGTATGCCGTTCAAAAGAGTTGGGTTTTCCTTCACCTACCACCCTTCTTTGAAGGAAGCAACCAAGCAGACAAGCATCATTAACTAACCAGACAGTAATTTCTATCTTAAACCATCTCACGTAATAGAACAAACATGGTTTTGGGAACAATACAGAGACCTGGGTACAAATACAGGCTTTTCTGTAATGCACAGGCTGCCATGAACTTCTCCAGCACTTACTGTTACTTCTTCTAACGCTTTATTTGCTTTCTTGCTCCTCCACTGAAATGTAAGCTCTACAAGAGCGGAGCTTTTGACTGTTTGTGTACTGCTACATCTGTCTTGCATGTAGTAGCTGATTAATATATATTGGTTGAATGACTGAGGAAATAACTCTCCAGAGAATTTCCAGCTTGTCCTACCACTTGTAGAAAGCAGTGGAAGCATTATGTATACAGGAGTAGGAACACGCACCCAAACAATATTGGTTATATTTCCTCTGGGCAACAGGATCAAACACAATTCTTGAATTTATAGAGGTTATACGATAAATACTTTTACAAATCAATGAAAAATTTAAAGTACATATTAACACTTTATATATGTCTGTAAATTCTACATCTTCAAGGAAATATATCATGACCTATGGATAACTTAAAAATTAAAATAACAATTAAGCAACACCTCAAGATCAACAAATATTTTATCAATTAATCAAGCGGATTTTTTTCACATCTACTCTTTGCTTGAAAATATAAGCTTTAGTTTCCAAATTATAATCCATTTACTAACTTGCATCAAATTTTGCATGCTAGCGCTCAGTAAAATAACATTGCCTCAAATCAACCAATAAACTGAGAATCTTATCCCACTCATGCATTCATTATATTACTCAACAAATGTTTATAGTGCTTACTATGTTTCCAATATGATTCTAAGAAATTAAAAAGTGCATTGAATGAGAGGAAAAATTCCTGTTCCTGCAAAATTCTTCCTCTCAAAAAGTTTATTTCTAGGAAGATGGAATTTAAAAATATATAAACACAAATATAAAAATAAATGTATAATAGAATAGTAGACTATTAATCATTGTAAGAAACAATTCAAAGTTAATGGTATGAATAGTGAAGTAGAGATTCTTTCAGACTGGGTAGTTAAGAGAGGCCTCTCTGAGAGGGAAACGTTTGTGAAAATACCTGAGTGAAAAGCGAGAAGGCATCATGAGAGTACCTGAGGACAGAGCATTCTGTCAGAGAAAACAGCAAACGCAAAGGCTCTGTATGGGAAATACTAGGTTTGCTTGAGGAAGTGCAAGATCAGAGTGATCAAGAGACAAGGAAAGACAATGAAGTTGAGGAGATTGTCAGAGATCAGATGACATTGGATCTTAAAGGCTATTGTTAAGAACACTGGATTTTATTCTAAAAATAACATGAAAGTATTTAAGAGATTTTTGTTTTTATGATAGCACTGTCTCCTCTCTGTGGATTACGCTCTAGGAACACGAGATTCAGGGAGACGAGGTAGGAGGTTATTGCTATATTACAGTTGAGACAAATGATGGAATGTACTAAGATGATAGCAATGGAGATGATGAAAAGAGGTCAGTTTAGGAGTTTAGGTGTATATTGTGAAGGTAGAACTGGTGGGACATGCTGACAAGTTGTTGATAAGGATGTGGGATGTGAGAGAGAAAGAGATCCAAAAAGATGCTCATGAGTTTAGCATGAGAAACTAGGGGACTGATGGAGCTCTTTACTGAGATGTGGAGCACTAAAGAAGGACTGGATTTGTGGAAGCAAACCAAGAGTTCTTCTTTGGACATTTAGTTCTTGATGATTAGTAGACATTCAATGGAGGTTTTGAGTAAATTGTTGAATAAATAAGTGCAGAGGTTAAAGGAAAGTTATACCTGAAGGTATAAAGTTGAGAATCAACAGTTTATAAAAGATTCTTAAGGCCTGATACTGAATTAGATTATATAGTGTTTATAATAGAGACAAGACAATGTCTAAGTACTAAGCACTGGGTTACTTCAACATTTAAAGGTTGGGAGCATAAGAAAGATCTGGATAAAAAAAGCTGCAAAGAAGAAACCAGTCAGACTTAAGGAAAATCAAAGCTCATAGTGTCCCAGAATCAAATAAAGAAATTGTTTCAAATATGAAGAGTAACAAATGCTGTTGAGAACAGATTGAGTACTTTGGGGTCTAAAAGCGACCTTTATCAAGAATGCCCCAGCTGACTAGAAAATGAGGTATGCGTTCATCTCATGTCCTGAGTATTTTAAATACAATATATTTGAATTCATTTCCTGAAATTCAATAATGCCAAACTTTCTAATATTACTTCATTTCATCTACTTGGCACACTGAGGCTTCAATTCTATAACCATTGGCTTTGAATTGGAATAATGAAAGTCAGTAGGCTTTATAGAATTTGTACAATCCCAAAAATTATTTAAGATTATAATTCATGTTGAGTTAAAGGAAATTTGAGCTTTGACTGGATAATGTAAATTCACTGTCCTAAATTTAGAGTTTGGTAGTCAATGTTAGCGCATACAGATAAGAGTAAATGTCCAGATGAAAAAATGATCCAAAATGACTACACTCATCACTTACTTTTTTCACACATCATTTAACTTTGCCTTTATTTTAGTCATTGTTGAATAGTCCCCTAAAAACTATTTAAGAAATGAGTGATTTAAAGAGGGAAAAATTAAATCTCAGTTGTTTCCTAATGAACTATTTCTACAATAATTTTCTTTACTATCCTAAAGTCTTGGAAACATCGAAGAAATCTCTTTTCTCACAAACTATAAATAACTAATGACAAAGGACAAGTGTCTATTAAAATGTCTTGATCATGAATGAAACAATCCCATTAAGAGACATCGGGGTTTAACTTCTCCTCTGAAGATGTCATGCTATAACGGGGCCAAATAATCAAAATAGCATGTCTTTGAACTATCTCTCTGATAAAATGGATGTAAAGAAAATGTTTAATTTGTGTGTTGTTCACCTAAAGTTTCTTTAAGTAGCATAGTATTCTCCTGAGTGTGCCAGTCTGCTGAATAGGCTTCATTCTTTTATTGCTGAGCAGCTTCACAAAGTTCTGCTAAGTTTCATCTGTATGGTTCAAAGCATAAACAAATGACATTTGGGAATTGACTCAAATTCTACCAGATGTAATAAGAGAACACAACCTCACAAGTATGCAACATCCATTTATGTCAGGATCCAAAATTTCCATGGGAGCTGTCCCCGTGGCCAAGTGGTAAAGTTTGCACGTCACATTTTGGCAGCCCCGTTTGCCAGTTTGGATCCTGGGTGCGGACCTACAACACCAATCAGTAAGCTATGCTGTGGCGGCATCCCATATAGAAGAGCTAGACTGTCTTGCAACTAGGATATACAACTATGTCCTGGGGCTTTGGGGAGAACAAGAAAAAAAAGAGCAAGCTTCGTAACAGATGTTAGCTCAGGGCCAATCTTGGAAAAAAATAATTTCCAGGATGAGCCAAAGATGATACAGGAGTTAAACAAAGCTCAGATCTGGCAGAAGACTCACACATTATGGAGGCGCAGGCATTGAGGATACAGACCATACGTCGCGATTTGCTTCCATGTCTCAGTGTAAGTAGTAATATCTCCTTTCATTTTCGAGAGAAACTTAGTTTCCTTCTCAGACAGAACCCAGGAATATAGCTAGTGCGAAGGGCATGAGCCAAACAGTGTCTGACCCATAGTAGGTAATCAATAAATGGTAACAATTTAACTACTTAATTAAGAAATGAGAGTTTCTGTAATAACTGCACCAACAGTCAATGTATGTGTGCACGTGTGCGTGTGCACGTTTGTATGTGTGTATGTGTTGTGTGAAAGGTACTTCTTGATTACTTATCAGGGTTCTATTAAAGACTCCAACATAGAAATAGAGACTCTAGGGGAGAAGTCTAGAGAGGCAGATGATTGGCATTGGAAACATTTCTCCACTGAAAGCTTGGAGTCGACCGCTGAGTTAGAGTACCCAGCAGTGTCCTGTTCCATTAATGCACACATAGAGAAAGGGAATCCGACTAAAATGCAGAAGCGAGGAGCTTTTGGACTTGGTTAAAACTTATTGGAAGGTAAAGAGAAGAACAAGGATAGATGTGAGTCAAGAACAACAGAGCATCTAGCGGTCATGTTTAGGAACATGTGGTCTGAGATTTTCCACAGATTATATCATACTAAAATCCAGCAGATGAGGGTTTGTACTGTTGTCTTGGGGAGTGCAGAGATAAAGAAAATAAAGGGAGGAGTGACAGGTAAGTGGAATCTCAAGTCATAGTCCCACACCATTAGTCATGCTTGATTAAAGAGATTTCCTGGGGCCGGCCTGGTGGCATAGCAATTAAGTTCGACCATTCTGCTTCGGCAGCCCGGGGTTCGCTGGCTGGTGCGGATCCCGGGTGCGGACAAAGCACTGCTTGGCAAGCCATGCTGTGGCAGGCACCCCACATATAAAGTGGAGGAAGATGGGCACGGATGTTAGCTCAGGGCCAGTCTTCCTCAGCAAAAAGAGGAGGATTGGAAGCAGATGTTGTTAGCTCAGGACTAATGTTCCTCAAAAAAAAAAAAAAAAAAAAAAAAAAAAAAGAGAGAGATTTCCTAGTAAATTGAGTCCTTCAGAGAATAGCAGCTTGTTGGGGTTATTAGTTAATATGTATTTTCAGAGTTTACATTAAAATTATTATAAATGTTCAGAATGCCACCATGTCTATATTATATTATAAATTAAAGAATACCTTCTGGAAACTGTTGGTAGTGCATTGTTAGATCATTACAAAGTGTTAGATCACAGTTTTTTAAGCAAACGAATAGAAACAGAAGGACTTCACATAGTATATGTTTAAGTTTCAACAAAGAATACATCTGTAGAATTTTAAACTCATATTTATTTTCAGTTTGAGGAAACAACTTTATTTTACAACATTAAAATTTTAAGAAATAGTCTAAGAAATTCCAGCCTTTAAATATATAATATAAATATATACAGTAATAAATAAAATGTTAAGTGCATGTTAAATTCAACAGTGTAAAATGCAGAATATGTCCATACCATTTTGCTTTTGATTTTGCTCTTATATTTTGGTATGCTTTTTGTTAGAAATATCTGACTAACACTCTTATGCCATTAAGCTTTTTATTGAAAAAAAATATTATTGCATTGAACTACAGTCCGAGTAATTTATTGAATAACCTAAAATAGCTGCTTTGCATGTACAATAGTGCAATTTACTTAGCCACAGTATGATAAAAAAAAAAAAAAACATTTTGTACAGAGAAAACAAAAGAAAATTATTGGATTATGTATCATATTGCCAGACTATCATCCAGTTTAATTGCAAAGTAAATACTTTAAATAGAATTGAGTAAGGTGGGAATTTGTTTTAAACAGCTCTATAACCAATTTACATTGTCAACTATTTTATAATTTCTCACAAATAGAAGGAACTGACAATTTAGCATCATGGAAAAGAAATCTATTCTTGAAGTTGATTGTTTTAATATGTGAATATATTTTGAAAAACACTATTTTGAACAAATATCAAGGTCTACAACTAAAGACTAAAAAGTATATCCATTAACAATACACACTTACAACATAAAAAGAATACATACACGCTTATTTTGTATATTTCCAGTTAGCCTGATTTATGTTTCCACCAAGATGCCCTTGCTCTTGCTCTTCCTATTTAAGAAAGGTGGTGGGGTGCCAAAGCAGGCAGTGACTTTGAGAAGGGAATTAAGAAAGTGGATTGAGAGCTCTGCCTCCGGTACAAAGCTTCATAAAATGGACAAAAAAATTTTTTAAAAGATCCTTTGGCTTATCTCTCTAATATTGGCTTATTCTAAACCTAACCGACTTAGCCACTGCTTCCATTTTAATATAGCTTAATCCAAAGCAATACGACAATCATCTTTAAATGTCTACCTAGTAGAAGAAGTGGATAATATTTTTGCTGGAATGAAATGATAACCTTTGAAAATCCTCTAGACCCAGGTTTATTGGCAGGAAAACTCGTATTTTAGTAGGAAACTTCCTTCTTGTTGCAGTAGTTTCAGTCTGAGACACAAAGGGCAGGAAACTGTTTCCCTGACTGCTGCGTGGAGGTGGTCACCCACTTGCTTCTTCAATAATGTTTCTATTTTCCAATGAGAACACATTTCCCTTTAGGAGTTCACTACTTAAAGAATCAAAATTAAACCTTTCCATGAGTTCCGCCAGGCCAAAGACAAGCGCTAGGTCAATTTTGCTCCTAAGAACGTTAGCTGTACATGCTAATGTGTGAGATTTGGGTTCTTTCAATTGTGCTTTTAGAAAACTGGATCTGATATGTACATAGTTTTCTTCAGAACGTTTAACTCTCTTTCTGAAAACTTGTGGGGAAATTTTTAGAGAAAATTGAGATGTGTGCCACTAGTTTGAGGTGGTCAGCAATGTTATTTCACTAATAAGGAGGCAGTGAACTCTCCACACAGCCTGAGGAGGGCATCTGGGCGTCGCATTCATATATATCTAGAACACTGGGAGACCAAGTGGTACTGTGAAGGGGAAGGTAATCTCCATATTTCCAATTATAGCTCCAAATACTTGGGATGTGTGGTGTTTTCGATCAGCCTGAAAGTATTATGGTAAGATTCAGAAATTGTGTTGCTGCCATCATTGGGAACTTAGTAAGTAAGCAACAACTTCATGCACTGAGGAGGTAGCCAGATCCGGAAAAATTATCTTGAGTGATTTTGCTGATTAAATATTCCATTTAATGGGAAAGCTTTCTAGGATTAGTTTCTTTGAATATATCCCTATTCAGAGATAACAGGGAGACTCCATTAAGTCCTGGCAGAAACTGAAGAAAAAGAGTCACCGTCAAATCCATTTTCTGTAAGTGAACTAAAAATTTCAAGAGATCATTCTGTGAAATGTCTGCCTAAGAAAAACACCTTGGGAACTGGGAACTTTCCAAATTATTCCCCATATTCTATTCTAGTCATTTACTATATTTGATAACATAGCATATATAAAGGTAAACTCATAAAGAATAATGAAATACACTCTTTAAATCCTATTGTATTTTTTCTTGCTGAATTTGGCAGGGAATAATTAAGAAGATGAACTTTCCCAAATTTCTAGTTCTTATTACAAAGCATTTGTTGTGTTTAACCATATCCTGAATCCAGGGAAGCAATCTGATAGGGAACTGGTTCTTAATCCCTAAGAAAAATACATGGACAGATATGTGTGCGTGTGTACATATGTAGGTAAAGATTTTACAGACTTTCTTAAAACATTTTCAGTTTTTAATTGAGTATTTATAGTTTGGCAGATACAGAAACATGCCTCAATGAGCCAAGTGTGAAAGAGTAACCCCATAAAGAAAATTACTCCATATATACCAGACAAGGGGCATAAAAGAAGTTTAATGCTGAAAATCAACCGTTAAATAATTGTGCAAGTGGAAGGAAACAATGCTGAAAATAAATCCATCACAGTGGCAATTTTTTAAAAAAAGGATCTATTTTAGAATTCAATATATATTTAGAAGTCTATTTCATTTCCGCCCAGAGTGTGTTTCACTTAAGTAAAATAAAATAAAATGTTTGAGCTCACACTCACTAATTTGGGCAAAGTAAGAAGATGGCTCAGAACGTTCTTCACAGCAGGAAAGGCATTTTGAGTATTATCAGAAGAAAAATGTTAATCCAAAACTAAGCCCTGCGAATCAACCATCTGAAATTTGGAAATTATTCTAGAGGATAATTGGATATGTCATTGATTACAAGCAAAAGTTCTAGTGAAACTATTCTGAAAATCCGTAAGATTTTTGCTTAACCAAATGTGCAAAATTTCTTGACTATTTCAGTGATGGAGATTTTACAGCTTTATACAAGCAACTCAAATTGTCAAGGTCTTCTTCATGTTAAGTCAAAATCTGCCTATCTCTAGCATCTACGCTCTCTGCCCTAAGGAGAATAAATACGATCTTCCACAGCACGCAGCTCCATGCTACTATCAGATGTTTAAAGTTAGAAATTTATTCCCATCTTTTTCTTTCCTCAGCAAGTGTTCTTTTCTTTGGAATACACATATTAGTTTCTTTATTTGTCATATGGCATTTGCCAGACTCTGTCCTACTGAACACTAATTCTATGAGATGGTCCACAGGAAAAAAATGTTCCCGTCATCATTTCTTTTGGAAATTTAATATATTCTCTCTCCCTCCTGGAAATGTCTGGTAGATACTGCTTGTCAAATGTTCTGAGATATGCAAGTAATGAAATAAACCTATTTAACCCAACATTTCCCTGAAGCATTTGAAAATGGAAATTTTTTTCACTTAATTTTTGTTAATTCATGGAACTCAAGTTATTCACGAGTGTAAAAACATAAAATTGATCTGGTCTTTTAATTAGTGAAACATGCCATTTATGGACACACTTCAGTTTGCCAACAACTCTCTTAAATTGTGTCCCAGAACAACACTTAGTTTTCCACAAATGGTATAATTTTTTCGAAGTTCTAAAATGAATCTTTTTTCCAACTCTCTATAATTCATTTAGCACCAGCTAATGCTTCATAACTTTTTCACCAGCTTCTTCACATCATTGGGTCATATGGAGCTGGTAAGCTACTAAGCCCTCCATTTATTGATGAACTGATGTTAGACTCTGTCTCCCCTACAATCTATGTGTATAAGATTTTTTAAATTAAAAACAAATGTGGGATTTAACATGTATTCATGCTAAATTTCACCTTTCAAATTGTGTCCCATTTTTATGCTTTTTGAATGTTTTTCGCAATGTATTTTACCATTGGCTACATTTGCTAGTCTTCTTGGGTTTGTGTTTTTCCCTTATTTGATAGAATGTCTTCCATGATTTTGTCCATGTTTTATGACAGTTTGACTGTAACAGAGTACAGAACAAAGCCTCAAAATCAGTCTTTACAACCCTACCTCCAATTTGAAATTAGTCCAGTTTTCAATAGTCTTTCTGCATACTTGTTTAACTAGCTATAAATAACACATTCATCACACAGTGTTTACTATTGCCCATAAGGATAATTATGAGAATCGTAAAACGTCTCTATAAAATTTCCGACATATTTTACTATCTTTTGTACCAACCACTCCATCACAATGTCTCTGATCAAGGTAACAAGCACTATGTAAGTGAAGGAATACTTAATTTTCTATCCTCTTCTTATTTGACTCAGTGACAATTCAGCAGGATTGATCACCCTCGTTTCTTTGAATCACTTTCTATGCTTGCCTTATAGGGCGCGCATTGTCCTGATTTTGCTCCTACGTAACTTGAAACTTTATCACTGTCTCATTTCTTGGTTCCTTCTCTTACTTCCACTCCTAAAGTGATCTAGTGCTCAGTCTCTGAAACTTTTATCTACCCTAGCCTATCCCTGATGATATTATCCAGGCTAATAGCTTCCAATATTTTCTATACATTGATGATTCCCAAAAGTATATGTCCTGTTCACACCTCTACTCAAACTTCAGACTCATATTTCCAACTACCAACTAATATCTTCACTTCAACATTTAATAGGCATCTCAAACAGAATATTTAAACTGATCCTCCTCACCTATCCTGTTCATTGCAGCATTCTCTATTTCAGTTAACAGTAAATCCACCCTTTAGTTGCTAGTGAAAGACTATTATGTCATCTCTGATTCCTCTTTTTGTCTCATCTCTTACATCCAATGTGAAGCACATTTTCTAAGCTCTACTTTCAGAATAAATCCAGAGTCTCACCACTTCTCAACATTTCCACTAGACTGTCACTGAGCAGGTCATTGCATTCTCTTTGTCTGAAACATTTCAATCTACTAATTGGCCTCCCCACTCCTACATTTACTCCCCTAGAGATTATACACAATGCAATAGGTGTGTGACCTTGGTAAAATCTAAGACAGATCATCTTCTTCCTCTGCCTAAATTATCCACTAGCTTCTCATCTCACAGTAAAAGCTGGTCATTATAATGGCCAAGATCCTATATGATTTTGCTCCACAATTACTTCTCTGATCGTATTTCCTGTAATTCTCTCCCTGAAACATTCTTTCCCATCCACAGCATTCTTGTAGTATTTTTTGAGCATGGCAAGCACACACAATAGGTTGTTGAAACATGCTCTTCTTAAGCCTAGAATGATCACTCCCTCACTTCCTTCAGGTCTTTGCTGCAATGTCACTTTCACAGTGAAGCTTCCCCTGACTGCATTATGAAATTGTACTTTACCCACTACCCCCAGTCCGAGCCTCTTTATCTGCCTTTCCTATTTATTTTCCTCAATAGCATTTATCGTCATCTGACAGTATATATATTTCATTTGTCTATTTTGGCTTTTGTCTGCATGACTCAACTAGAATTAAACTACATTCTGGCATTATTTTTTGTTAGTTTTGATCATCATTATATCCCCAGCAATCAGATTACTGCCTAGCACATGGCCCTTAATAAATATTTTTGAATGAGAAAGAAAACAAAGTGGATAAAGGAGAAATAAAATTATTTTATTTTTGTACTATTTTTTAGTATACTTGTTTGTGTTACCAGCGATTGTGTCTTTCTTTTCATTAAACATTCCACTTAAAACTTTATCTATAAATAGCTAACTTTTAAGTCAGTAATATCTGTATTCAGTATTCCTCTCTTTATAAAAGTAGAGATGTTTGTTCTAAATTCTCTTCCATTCTGCATGTTTTCTCAAAGATAAGCAATGTCATGATTAGGCAATTTTAATACTCTATGGTAAAATTCTTCTAAATGTGAAGATGTAAATTCATTTGAAGCGGCCAGGAAATCATTTTCCCTATGTGTTCCAAATTTCTTACTCATGTTGCTTCTACAATTTCCACTTTGAAGCATTTTCTGCTTAATAGGGAAAGTAAAATGAAATCAGATTTAGGTAACACTATTTTCTTTTTCATTAAATCATTTGCCCCCAGCAGTAAGCACTGAACAGAACCAAAAGATGAACTTCTTTTGGATTTTCCCAATAAATTGGATATTAAAAAAAATTAGCCTTCTTTCTGCTCATTTTGACCATAGCTTTAGTGTTACTATTTGTGGATGTATGGCACTTTAACGATTACTTTGAATGTTTTCCCCATTCAGTTTATACAGATTGTTTAAAGGACTACATTTTCCCATCTCATTATAATCTTTTATAATTGTAGCTTTCCTCATGTGATACCACCTTTTGTAGTTTCCCACTCTAGAGGATAAGTTCTTTTATTTAAATGGTGAAGTCTTCTCATAGTCCAAGATAATATATCCAGTGAACATTTTCATCACTGATAATGCAGGATAGTCATTTCCATACCATCAATTCATATCAATCTGTTCTTGTTAGTCAAAATTAAGTACCCAGTAGAGGTTCTCTGGTCTAACCTTCTGAGAGATTAAATTATCACCAAGATGACTATAAATTTAATCAGGTATTGTCTTTTTCATAATAATGCTTCTAGTGAATTCCTATAATTACTCCATCTTGGCTCTACGCCAACTTTATAATCTGTTTTCAGGGATAGTCATGCACATTACCTTCTTTTTTTGATGTGGTGGGCCATTTGTCCTCTATTTTTATAGGAAATATTCCACTTATTTCCCTTTTTTTAGATTCTATCAATGTTTATCCATGTTCTTCTATAATCACATTTATGGCATTCCATGCAAGTATAGAGTCTCTTGCTATTTGAAGCCTTTCCTCTGTTTTTCTACTCATTTTACATAAGCTAGACTTTCTCACTGCCATATCCCATTCAAAATTCCCATCCCACAAGTTCTGGTGACATCTAGGAAATTATGTCTTTTCTTTACATTAAAATTTCAAATTCACTTTGTCTTCTCTCTCTCTTTTTCTCTCTCCATCTCTCTCTCACTAGCATCAAAGATGTCCTTTCTTGCTGTTTGCCAACGGTTAAGAATTTAACCTTTCAACTTCGTTTTCCTCATCTGCACAGAGGAATGATAATACTGATCTCAAAATACAGCTGTGAATATTAAATGAGATAATATGGGCCAAGTGCTCAGCCTGACTCTTTTGATGCACAGTAGGCCTTCAGGAAGTATAGCTCTCTTCTTTGTGAAGCCAAGGCTGAAAAAGTCACCCCTCTCATCTTTTAATGGTAGAGGAGTTTGCATTGTCATACACACAGTGGTGGATGACTGATTACCTCCATTTCTGTTTAGTTTGATTTTCTCTAAACTCATGCTTTTGGAGAATATGCAGTCATACATGTTTCTCTTTCATTTTAAAAATACAAAATAATAAACCTAACTGGAAGGCCATTTAGAAATACAGATGTAAGAAATGCAACTTCTGTGGGCGAGAAAACATTTTGAAAGAATGCTTAAAATCATTTGCAAAATTGCATGAACGGTGATTTTATTCATCATCATTCACTATATTTTATAAATATCTAGTACAATTGAATAAAACACATCAAATATGCCATAAGATTTTCTCAGTAAATGTCATGTAAAAATTGTGACATTTCCAAAACTTTACCTCCCCACTTACACATATGTTGGCTGAACACGGTAAGATTTCTGAGTAAAAGAATAAAGAAAACAATATTTAAGTCCCTGCAATATTTGAAAGATTGACCAATGTATTCCAAATGTTATTCTGAATATATTTTGGTTTTTGTTTTGTGTTATCAAAGACTAATGATAGTTTATATATGATTTCTTATACAAAAATTAAACATTCTTAATTTTAGATGGTGATTCTTACAATAACAAAATTATCTTGACATAGATGTGTATGAAAGGAAGATAACCCGATTTTTCACAGAAACTCAACAATGCAATCTGTTTAAAGATTGATTTTCATTGAAGAGTAGTTTTCGATCTGAATTAATTGGAAAATTTCTTGCCATTTCTTATTTCCTATGAAAATACAGATCATATTGATTGAAATGGATTATATTGATTGAAAGTTTAGTCAATAGTTAACTGTAAGAATTACTATTAATAATTAGTTCATTTCACTGACGTTTTATTATTATCTGATGAATAAAACAAAATGTGCATTCATTCATTCATTCATTCACTCATTCAACAAACACCTAGAACATGTGGTATCATGTTCCATATGATTTTCTTTGTAATATTAATAATCTACCTGAATGTTTTCTGTAACATTTTGTAACATTATGTGAGAACTCATCTAAAACAGATCTTTAACACTTTTTCCTCTATTTTTTCATAAAATTATTTTAAATTCACTCTATTATTTTTTCAAGTTAAAAGAAATTCTTAAAATGCTCCTATTTCAATATTGGCAATTCAGTTCACATTTAGATGTTGGTCACATTTTGAACTGCCATATATTTTAAATCTTACAATAGATAGACCACTCTAAATATATCATTTTTGTAGGTAGTGACAATTTGTTTTATTTATCCAGCAGAGGGGCTTTAACAGCTATTAGTTCAAATGTGCTGACACATTTAAGGCCTCTTTCACTCCATTTAACTGTTGCATCTGACTGGAGCAAGAATGATGGCAAAGATCTTGACCTTGAAACACTGGTCGAAGTAAAGGATTCAAGTGGATGATGGAAGTTGTGGCTGGGTTTAAGTGAGGGCCAAACAATGCAGGGACAAATGCTGCAGGGGGCAAGGGCTGAAGTGTTATGTGGGATGAGTGGAAGGGGGCAGCGGTGACTAAATGCAGGGGATGACCCGCTAAGAAAGTGGGATGTGCAGGGATGATGGCTGGAGTCAGAGGTGAAAATGTGAACGGAGCAAAATGTGGCTGTGAAAGAGGATGTAGATGAGCTATAGGGAAGTGACTGCCATGGGAATTTACGGAAGCAGAAACAGCAAAATGCTGCAAGAACGTGTGGTGGATGGTGGTGAGAGAAGTGTGCTGGTGAACTGGAACTGTCTGCACAGCTGAGGCTGGAGAAAAGGCAGTTGGCCCTGTAGCAGGCAAAACCCGAAGATGCTTTGATAGGAGCTGTTTCTGCATATGCTGCTGGGCTTGTAGCTGTAAGAGCTTATATTTATCTATTTCATCAGGAGAAAATGTTATTGGCTGTTGAATTATAGGGGGGGAGAAAGATTTATGACATACTTCTAACTCATCTGCTACCTTGTCATGTTTCTGCATAGTTCTGTCATAGTAAGAGTTTATATTCCCCTCTACATGATTCATGTGCATGCTTACATCCTGTAAGTCTAGATTTATTTGCTCCTTTTTGGTCTCTGTTGAATCAGTAACACCAGTATATCTATTAGATGGAAAAGCACCAGGGAAATCACTTAGTTCTGGGTCACAGTTTTGAATAAAAGGTTGGAATTCACCAATTAAAGATTCTGATTGTTCTTTTGTTGTTGGGTTCTTTTTCATGTTTGGTGACTGAGACTCAGCTACTACATGAATTATACCTTTAGAAAGATGGTTATCACAATCAGTGTCTACTAAAACAGTAAAATTATTTGTCTGTGAACCTTTGACTTTGCCTTTCTCAATAGTTCTCTGAACCACACTGCCTTTATAATTTCTTCTTTTATTTGTGTTCTGCATTTTTGCAGACAAAGGCAATGCTGGTCTCTTACAGCCTGGTGGTATAAATTGAATTGTGCATTGGATTTGTGAATGAGCCTCTGATTTATTTTTACAACTGTTTGAAGAGACTTCCAAATTGCTTGATTGTTCCTGACACTTCTTGGCTTGTACTCTTTCTAAAAGGCTTTTGGCTGTCAGGGGGGTCTTCTCTCCTGCAATGTTCAACCCTGTGGTTTCGGATCGGTGGCTGGAACAGTTCCTTAGAAGGCAGCTGATATTCTCAGATTTATACCGCATGGGTTTTACTTTTCCCAGATCACAAACATGAGGGCTGTTCAAAGACCATTGAGTTCTTTCACTTTTATTTAAGTAATAAATTCTTTCTCTTGAGTAAGAATCTGATCTGCTGTACTGAGGTCCCTGGCAATTAAATGGTTTTGCGCTGTTCCCAGCACAGGAAACCTGTGAGCTAGTATCACAATGGGTGATGCTCCTGGATTTGGGCCCCGAACATTGTTGTTGATTTTTTCCCAGTTTATATCTTTCTCTGCTGTGACCATATCTACGTTTTGATTGTTTTTCATTTTTAAACGATTCCGATTCCCGCAATGCACAGGCCCCGTCTCTGTGCGCTCCGGACCGCAGGCAGGCACTCTGCGCTGTCTCATTGGACAAGCAGAGGCAGCTGTGCTTGCGACGTTTCAGTTTGTGCCTTTCAACTGAGCTGGGTTCTCTTTTACAAAAGTAGAGCAAATGACCTCTGCCATCACCACTGGACCTATGACTTGAGCAAGTATTTCTCAGGCTGGATGTGCTGCTGAGGGATGTGTCTGAAAGGCTAGAATGTCTGTTCAGAGACAATGTTCCAGAAATTCTCTTGTAACTTCGGTTTCCACATCCAGACACTCTGCTGGTCATGCTGACGTGGTTACTATTCAAAACTACACTGATGTCCTTCCCATGGTCACTGTGACCCCTTACTGTATAAGGACTAGAACTCCAGGTGAATTGATTTCCATCTTCAAGATCCGAATGAGGATCACAGGGAATCTGTTTATGTGTTTTAGTCCTCGATATACAAGGCGAAAATGATAGGCCCTCATTTGCATTATTTAGAACTACCCTTTGGCAGCTTTGCCAATGGGTCCTTGAAGGTTCCTTAAGTTCATTATCACTATTATTATTGTTTGCTACACAATTCTTTTGAGAGATATCACGGTAAGCAGGCACTTCAGGATTTTTCATTTCCAAATCACTTGCAGTAAAATTATGTTTACTTGTATTTGGCTCAGAATCATTGTAGCCCAAACTGTATTTTCTCTGGAAATTTTCCCAATCTGGATTAGCTATCATCATCTTTGGTTTCAGAGATTGATTATCTTCTTGGATCAATTTTTGTTGGTCTTTGATTAAACCTGAGACTTGGCTCTCTCCTGTAGTCTTCATTTCTGACGGCTCCTTAATCAATTCTGTTTTTAAGTCCTCTGGATCATGATCATCCTTTGTGTTCCGAGAAAGCTTAAAATCAAAATATAATGGGTTACAGCCATAAGAGATACAAGGCTCTGTTTTTGTAAAGAGCAGGAGTTCTGTAGGCCATTGGAGAGTGGTGTGACCATCCTTGCTTTGTACGTGGAGAAAGGGCAATGGTTTGGATTTCACATCATGGGGACATGCTTCTCTTATAAGCCTTTGCATGTTTTTGCTAACTCTTTCTGTTTCATCTAAAGATTTTTCTGTCTTCTCCATTCTGGAGTTCGGATTCAGATGCACTGTACTGTTTTGCTCACTTGGCTCTAGTGATGGAAAGTCATCCAGACATTCAAATATCCTGGCATCACTGTGCTTGTAAATGTTTCGTGGGCTGGAGAAAGCATTTGCTTGGCATGAGTGATTAATGCAGTTTTCTGAATTGTTCTTCAATGTATTTCTAGTTCCTTTTTCTCTGCTGGAAGGAGTAATATTCACATCTGAAAGAAGAATGTTAGATTTAGAGAATGAAGCATGAATGCCAGTGGAATCTTCTAGAGTTTCATCAACAGAGTCATTTTTGTCCTGCAAAAGTTGAGAGCTGATGGAGAAAGCATTGTGTAAAACACTTTCCAGATGGCTTGGTGAGATGTTTATGTCTCTTTCCTTAGCGAGGTGTGTATCCTCATTTGCAAACCTGTGGCACTTGCATTTCTCTGCAGTTTTTGTTTTATAGATGGGTGACTTAGAATCATGAATTTCTTCTGTGGTCTCACTGAAAACTGATGCTGAAGATTCTAATTTTAGATGCACTTTTTTGGAAAAGGAAAATGATACTCCTGTCCTGTGATTTGCATTACTGAGATGTGAAGATGTTTGTGGTACCCGACTTCCAGACAAATAACGTTTGTCCGTTTGTAACTCGTGTTGATTTGGCATGGTGGACCGCTGTTTATCGGCAATGGCTCTGGAGAGATTCTTTCCTTTAAGGAGAAGAGCATTCTTCATGCACGAAACCTTCCTTCCATTCTTAACTGGGAAGATTCCTTGCTGGAGTTGTTTTTCTATGGCTATTCTGGGGGCTTTGTACGCAGGTCCAATTCCAGAAACACTGTAAATACAATAAATATTTAAATGATTAAGACATTAGATTTAAAATCTTATCTGCATGTGAACATTTTGTAGTGTTTCTATGATGGATTCTGCTACCATTTATGAACTATGTCTACTGTAATAACCATTTCATTGTGCTTATACAGTCATGTATCACATAACAATGCTTCAGTCAAGGATGCACCACATATACAACAGTGGTCACATAAGATTAGTGCCATATAGCCTAGCTGTGTAGTAGGGTACACCATCTAGGTTTGTGTAAGTACACTCCATGATGTTCGCCCAATGACAAAATCGCCTGAAGATGCATTTCTCAGAACATATCTCCATGGTTAAGTGACACATGACTATATAACTCAGCGTATCTAAGTTTTACAGTGGCTATTTCTAAAGTACATCATTTAAGTGTATCCTCTTGAAATTAGCAAAAAGCAATAGAAGGCGAATATCTTATGCTAGTGCTACAAAAGAAAATAAAGTATGACATTTGCATCAAAATAGGTTCTCCAGAACCTATCAATTCTTTGGAATATAGATTTAACATTTTCTCACAAACAATTTTCTAGTTGGTGCCTTCACATTAAATAAGAAATTAAGTGAAATTAAAAGTCGCACCCACATTATAAAGATACATCTTTAATTTGCTTTTTCGTACAAGTTCTAGCATTTTATAATTTTTATTTCCTTAGTTTGAAAATTCCTTCATGTTTGGTTCCTTTAGAAATACGGTAGTTAGTTCTTTCCTTATGACTTGTCACTAATTTGAGTAATTATAATAAATTCATAATAAAGTAACACACACTTACAAGCCATCTCAATATCTTAAATTATTTTGAAATCTTTTCTTTTGCTTCTTACTCATTGAAATATTTTCTTTCTACCTTTTGTGCATATATATTTAATCTTTTAACACTTTTTTAAAGATTATTCATTCTAATAAGCTTAATTGGTAATTCAATCAGAAAACTAGAAATAGCAATACAACACATAAGAGATGGAACTCTTAAGATTAAAATTGTCTCTTCAACATTCTTCCAATACAATCTCTACTATAAAGCAAGGCCTTACTGGGGGGAAGGGAATACAAATCACATCATTTACCTGACTGTTGCTTTGAGCAGGCTTTCTTTTCCTTCTCTTTTTTCTTTTTCTACATACTTGGATGTGTGTTTGCTTGCTCTTTCTATTTTAGATTTTTATTTCATTTTTATTCACTCTTTTGTTACTTGAGTATAGACCACTAAAACAACTGATGTTTTCCAAATGTAGCTTAAATTCTAATGGAGAGGAGTGCTTTCTGAGCCCGTGGTCTGAAAAATTCTTTCTTATGGCCATCATTTAAGACTGTTTGGCCAGGATCTTGTCAAGATGGTGGTGTAGGCAGACTCTGAATTCATCTCCCCCCATGAACACAACTATGTTACAACTATTTTTGGAAAAAATATTCTGGATGGAAAACTGGAAACTGGATAAAAAGAATCCCCACAACGAGAGTCAGTCCTGACTAAGATAGGAGAATCAGAAATTACTTCTGGAAAGAAAAAAATCCACCTTCAGGAGCAGTAGAGTTTCACAGATGACCAGGCGGGAGCCACTCTAAGGTAGGCAGCCCTCCCTGGAGAAGTGAGGTCCTGAGCAGGGACCCAACACTGCTATAAGCATCCTTCGGGCTCAGCACAACAGAGACGAGGGTCTTATGATCTGGTTTTGCTGACTATTAACTGCAACGGGGAATACCCCCAGAAAAGCTATGGGACAAAAGCCGAAAAAACCCGGATCTTAAGGGACCCATGCACAAACTCACCTGTCTCAGAGAGCAACCTAAAATCACCAGAAGGAAGGCTGACAGTCCTTTGGTGAAAAGAGACTCACCTGGTAGGCTCTGGGTGCATCTCACTGAGAGGAGAAACCTCTCCGGAGACTGAGATATTGGTGGTGGCCACTGTTGTCACTTAGTCCAGGTGTGTTGACACAGACCCTGGCAGATGCCATTGAAGTTCTTTCCCTGGTCTGTTAGCCCAAGCGTCTGCTACACCCACTAGAGTGCAGATTTAATCTAGTTCAGCCAGGGCAGGCTGCCTGCCCCAGGGAGCAGCCCCACCCAACAGTAAGCCTTCAGGCTACTTGTCAGCCTGCATTGACTGGGTGCTTTGATCCTCTACAGGCAGGTGAGTGTGTCTGACTCTGTGGAGCAGGGCCTGTGTGAGGACCAGGTGAACTGTGGAGGGCATTGGTGGAGAGGTAGGGGCCTCTGAAGTGGGGTATTGGGGTACAATCCAGGGGATTGGGAAGTGTGCATGGGTCAAGACTGTGTTGACATTGTGTGTTGATCTGTGGGGGGTGGGGCTTATCAGGGACAGAAGACCTGTGCTTCACAAATAGCCATAAAAAGGATCAGCCCCACTTTCCAAAACCTGCAACAATTGAGTGCTACCCCATGCCTAGGGCCAGCCCCACTCAGCTGCCCTCCTGAGAGAACTGACAACACCCTCGTAGGCCTGAGGCCTTTCACAACTGTGAGCCCCTCAGCCTACCAACCAGCTACACTGGGGACCTACCCAATTAAGAGAAAAACTGCAACAGAAGTGTGCTGTTATATCTTGTAGCCAACAGTGCTGAGGTTCCCCAAACCAGATTTACAAACAGCTGGCCAGAGAGGGAAAAACTAGACTCCCTGGGAACCTGCAGTAATAGCAACCCTGCCACAGCAGAAGGACATAAGTAGCCCACACAGGGGTCACTCTTGGATCATTTGGAATTGGTGACAAAAGGGAAGCACGCTGCTCAGCCTCAAAAGGTATCTCTTACATAAGGCCACTTCTCCAAGATCAGGAGACATAGCTGACTCACTTAATATGTAGATATAAGCACAGAGAAAGAGGCATAATGAGGAGACAAAGGAATACATTCCAAGCAAGGGAACAGGACAAAACCCAAGAAAAAGAATGAAATGAAACAGAAATAAGCAACCTACCTGAGAAAGAGTTCAAACAAAAACTCATGAGGATGCTCACATATATTGGGAGAAGACTGGATGAACACAGTGAGCTCATCAAGAAAGAATTGGAAAATATAAAAAAGAACCAATCAGAAATGAAGAATACAATTCTGGAAATGAAAAATTCACTAGAGGGACTCAATAGCAGAGCAGAGGATATAGAAGAATGGATCAGCAAGCTAGATGAAAGACTAAAGGAAATCACCCAAGCTGAACATATAAAGGAAAAAAGAATTAGGCAGAATGAGAACAGTCTAAGGCAACACTGGAACAATATCAACCTCACTAACATTCATATTATAGGTGTCCCAGAAGAAGAAGAGAGAGACAAAGGGGCAGAAAATTTATTTGAAGAAACAATAGATGAAAATTTTCCTAACCTAAGGAAGAAAACAGACATCCAAGTACAGGAAACACAGAGAGCTCCAAACAAGATAAGCCCAAAGAGGCCCACACCAAGATACATTATAATTAAAATATCTAAAATTAAAGATAAAGAGAGAATCCTAAAAGCAGCAAGACAAAGGCAACAACTGATATACAAAGCAAAGCCCATAAGGCTATCAGCAGACTTCTCAGCTGAAACTCCACAGGCTACAAGAGAATGGCATGATATATTTAAAGTGCTGAAAGGAAAAAAACCTACAGCCAAGAATACTCTATCCAACAAGGACATCATTCAGAATGGAAGGAGAGATTAAGAGCTTCTCAGACAAGCAAAAATTAAAGGAGTTTATTGCCAAGAAACCAGTTCTACAAGAAATGCTGAAGGGACTTATTTAAGTGGGAAAGTGATGACCACAAACAGGGATAAAAAATTATCAAAAAAAAAATCAAGCAATAAAATCACTGGTAAAGATAAAAAATATAGTAAAGGTAGAAGATCAACCACCTATGAAGATATATTAAAGTTAAAATACAAAAGTACTAAAATTACCTATTTCATAGATAAGAGGGTAATGGATAGACACACACTAAACAAGAGATTAGATATGATTTCCAAAATGTAAAAGGTGCAAGGAGGGGAGTGAAAAAGTAGAGCTTTTAGAAAGAAGTTAAGTTAGAGTTTATCAACTCAACATAGACTGTTATATACACAGAGTATTATATAGGATCCTCATGGTAATCACAAAACAGAAACCTATATTAAGTAAGCAAATAAGTAAGATGAAAGAAATCACACATATTACTGAAGAAAGCAATCAAACCACAAGGGAAGAGAGCAAGAGAAAAAGAAAAGAACAGAGAAGAACTACTAAAACACCCAGAAAAAAAAAGTAAAATGGCAGTAAGTACACATTTATTAATAGCTACTTTAAATGTCAATGGACTAAATGCTCCAATCAAAAGGCATAGGGTGGCCAATAGGATAAAAGAACAAAACCCATGTATATGCTGCATAGAAGAGACACACTTCAGACCTAAAGACACTCACAAACTGAAAGTGAAAGGATGGAAAAAGATACTCCATGCAAATGGCAAAGAAAAGAAAGCGGGGGCTGCAATACTTATATCACACAAATTAGACTTTAAAACAAAAACTGTAACAAGACACAAAGATGGGCACTACATAATGATAAAGGGAACAATCCAGCAAGAAGCTATAACACTTGTAAATATCTGTGCACCCAACATAGGAGCACCTAAATATATAAATCAATTATTGACAGACATAAAAGGAGAAATAGACAGTATCACAATAATAGTAGGGGACTTAAACATTCCACTTACACCAATGGATAGATCATCCAAACAGAGATCAATAAGGAAATACTGGCCTTAAACAACACATTTGACCAGATGGACTTAGTAGATATATATAGAACACTCCATCCAAAAACTACAAAGTACACATTCTTTTCAAATGCCCATGGAATATTGTCCAGGGTTAATCACATATTAGGCCACAAAACGAGTCTCAATAAATTTAAAAAGATTAAAATAATAAAAACGCATCTTTTCTGATGACCAAGGTATGAAAGTAGAAATCAGCTACA